CCCGCCCGCGGGGCCTGTCAGGCTCAGGGCCGCCCCCTTCCGCCTAGGACCTCTTCTTCAGCGGTCTCGACTCCCTGCCCTAGACCCTGACGCCTGGGGGAAAGAGGGTCCTTAGAGTCCCGGAGAGCGTCCCTCTCAGTGGTGGTGACAGCGGTCGCCGAGGGCGGGTGTATTTGTGCATCTTTTGGGTTCCCACAGCCATCCTGTGAGGTGGAAAGCCATTGTGCGCGTGGTGTCAACTCACGGGAGGAAATTGAGGCCCGGCAGGACCCCTTCCTTGCTCGAGGTCAGAGCTGGATTGTCCGCAGGCCTCTGACTTCACCTTTAGAGACCTTCCTGCTGCCACCTGCCCCAGGCCAAATCCCGCAGCTAGGCGCTGGCCGGTCCCATCCGCAAGGGAGGCTGCGGAGTACCGCCTTCCTCCCCGTGCATCCCGATTTGCATTTCCCCAGCTCCTCTCACTCCCGCAGCTCCCCTCATTCCCACGCTCTCCCCAACACACCCTTTTCAGACACCCCAGAGTTAACAAGGAAGGAAGGAAGGGAGAGAGAGAAGAAAAAAAGAAAACTATTTGGAGCCGCTTGAAGGACATGGCATCCCTCAAAGGTAGTGCTGTTGTCTGGGGGCTGACCCCAAGCACCTTTCTCTGTGGCCCAGGGTGAGCATTTCAGTCCCCTTTCGATTTGAAAGAAGATGGAGGTTCAGCGAAGCAGAAAGGAGGTCTTGGAATATGTGAGGCTGTTCCAGATGGCAGGTGCGACTCTGTGGTGGCAGCAGCTCTGCACTAACAGTTGGAGATTGAGCACAAGGGTGGAGAAGAGGCAGGTGCTGCAGCGCCTTGTTTTTGTGTTTATTTATTTATGGGGGAGGGTCTCATCCCTCTGCCCCATCCTGGCCTGCAGAGCTCATTGGAACTGTAGATCATAAAATTCCAGTGTGAATCCTTTTTTTTTTTTTTTTTTAAGAGAGAGGATTTTTTTTTAATATTTATTTTTTATTTTTCGGCGGACACAACATCTTTGTATAAGGTGCTGAGGATCCAACCCGGGCCACACGCATGCCAGTCGAGTGCACTACCGCTTGAGCCACATCCCCAGCCCAAGTGTGAATCCTTAATTTGGAATTTTCATTGGTGTGGATTTTGTTGGTTGGTTGGGGTCTTTTTGTTTGTTTTTGTTTTATTTTGATTTGGTTTGGTTTCCAGTCCCTAGTAGATAGGATTCACAACCAAGAGAAATTAAAATACTGTCATTGTTCCATTTAAGCAATACCTTCCTCAATCATCTGATTGCCTTTCACAAATCATGACTGGTTTCTCTAGGGGACTCAAGAGAGAAAATTTCTGGATGAGGCTCTTCATTTCTGCTTTTCTTGTAATTCTATCAGTTTTGAGTGTTTTAAAATTTCCTCTCACCCTCTTTCCTCTCCCTTGGGGCCCCTGTGCAGGGACTGACTCCTCCCCCTTAGGTCTTCTTTCAGCCATGCCTTTGAGTTGGAATGAGACTTTTTAGGAAACTCTCCCCAAACTTTCCAAACCCCAGGCCCAGCTGAATTATTCCATCAGTGTGGTTTTGGGGACAGGAAGAAGAGCCACTTTGCAGAGTCTGGGAGGAGTGGCTGATAATAAGCACAGTCCCTTGGCCTGTAATAGCCACTTTGGGGCTGGCCTGGATGGGATGGAGCACAATCCCAGCTGCCTGTGCAGTCAACCCCCTGAAGTCCTAGGCTCCCAAACAAGTGGCTGCCAAAGGTTTGTTTCCCGTGGGGTGAGCTCTGCCTACAGATTTTGTCCTCTAATGGCCAACCTGTTGCTTTTTATGCCTTGTCAAGAGCTAGATCTGAAATGCACCAAGAGGACATTTCCTTAGGATTTTCTGTGTTTTCTTCCTCTACCACAGAAGGAACCCAGTTGAGAAATGTCCCCTCTAGTTAACCGCCTTTTCTCAACCATGGTCTTGTTGTTGCTGGAAGGCATACTCCGCTAATACAGTGATGGTGGTGCGCTAAACGGCACCCCGGTGGCCTAAAATGGTGATCCCACCTTGATAAGTATGTAACTTATTACCAGCAAGTGACTTCAAAGTTCCAAGGGGGATGACAGAACTGTAATCCATTAGCAATTGGACTGCACTCGCCATCAAGGGCAGGGGTCCATTTAATTGGCCTCTGCGGGGAGACAGGCAAGATTCAGTCAGACCTGAGGGATGACTCCCTATATCATCATGAGACCCCAGCGCGAGCCCATCTAATAGCTTGGTGGGACAGGCTGATGCCCCTATTGGTCTGCAGCCTCAGACATGGCAAGCCTTTCACGATGAGCATGCAGATCATTCGAGGAAACTGAGGAAGCCAGAAAAGACCTGTCAAGGGATGACCTTAAGTATTAATTAACTTTGCCAGGGAGAATGTAAAAATCCAGTGTCAGGTTGGGGAGGGCTCCTGCCCTTTCTATCTATAATCCACATTAAGTCTCTGGGCAAATGTCTTGAATTTATACTAATGTTGCCCAATAAGATTCTTTTGTTCCTACTATTAGGAAAATTGGCCTTCACTAGAGATGAAAATTTTAATGTATTAGGCCTGGAAGCACAGAGCATGTCTATATTTAATGAGCCAGCACCAGTTTCTCTACTAGTTACCTCCCTGTCTTAATCAGAGACATTTTAATCTGTTCTCAAATCTCTGGCATCAGAATCATTTGGAAGGCCCATTAAAACCCCAGACTTGGGCATAGTGGCACTTGTCAGTAATTCCAGCTACTCAGGAGTCTGAGGATCCCAAGTTTGAGGCCAACCCAGACAACTTAGACTCTGTCTCAAAATTAAAAATAAAAAGGGCTGGGGTGGGGCTGGGGATGTGGCTCAAGCGGTAGTGCACTCACCTGGCATGCATGCGGCCTGGGTTCGATCCTCAGCACCACATACCAACAAAGATGTTGTATCCGCCGAGAACTAAAAAATAAATATTAAAAAAAAAATTCTCTCTCCTCTCTCACTCTCTCTTAAAAAAAAAAAAAAAGGGCTGGGGTGTAGCTAAGTAGTAGAGCACCTTTGAGTCAGTCCCCAGTACCAGGCAGGGCACATGGGGGGGGGCGGGGGGGGGGTAGAGACAGAGAATCAGATTTGGTAGGTTTGAGGTAGAGCCTCAAAAATCTGAATTTTTAACAAATCCCTGATGCTTCTTGTCTGGGGCCCATACTTTGAGGACTGCTATTCCAAGTGTTTTGAAATATCAGCAATATTTAAGTAGATATTTGATGATTTCCTCAATGGCTTGCAACTGTCTTTAGTTTAGAACCCAAATTTAAGGGAGTTGCCGGTATCTAAGAAAGTTAATAGCGCCAAGCATTTTTAACACAATTGCCATGTCTGGTTTTATTGGCTGGGGCCTGGCTGGCTGTTTGGGGGTTGGATGATTGGAATGGATGGAGTATATGTTACCATGGCAGTGTTCTTCCCCACAGAGGAAGACCCCAGAGGCTGGTCCTGTACAGGTGACTGGTCCTGTACAGGTGACTTGTTTATCATGACTTTCCCAATCATGAAGTGCTCTGGGGTTCCTTTCCATCACTCCTGTTCAGCATTTCCAGGAAGCTGAGATAGTCAGAAGACTCCAGGTCCCTTCTTGATCCAGCCCCATGAGTAAAAGGAACTTCTTTTGTCAATCCAGTGTGTGGTTTGCTTAGAGCAATGGATTAGATGAAGCTAATTTGGGTACAAGGCAGAAGTGAGTTGGCAGGGACATCCCAAGGCTATGGAAGGTGCCTTCAGCTCCCTTAATTAGCAGCTTTTGCCTCGCAGCCCTGTCTGCATTCCCAGGTAGGGAGGCCTGCCTCTCCTGCAGCATTCAGCAGGAAGGTCATTACCTCTGTGGGCGAAGGGCAGGGCAGAGATGGCGGTGCACGTGACTGCTGTCAGAGCCTTTGTTACCATCTTCCCAGGGTTCTTGAAGGCCACACAGATGTCCCGGTGTTCTTCCCTTAGGGTGTTGCACACATGGAGTCCAGGTGGTCACAGCTCGCCAGAGGACGGTTGAAGGTGTGGCTCTGCAGACCTTGTGTGTCTTGAATTATGGTTGCTACAGGCCCTCTTCTTCCCTGTGTATGTCTCTGCCATAGAGCTAGGCAGATTATAGGATCCAAGTTTGAACATCAGGGGAAATAGCAATCAATTTTTAAAGAGGGAGCTACTGAAGAGTTTCTCTTGGATAGTTTTATGGTTGTGTTGGACCAAGTGCAAATCCGAGGCTTATAGGAGTCTGCCTGAGAATGGAGGTGGGAAGTTGGGACAGAGATGGGTTGAACTCTTTGTATGGCAGTGTATTCCACTGTTTCACCTGGGCCAATTAGTTATACTTTGAGTTTAGGAAAGCTTATTCCAAGCTTGTGTGGTAACCTATATATTATTTAATAATTAAATAAATGCATCTCTTCTGATGAATACCCCAGGGGACCCATTTTGTAATCTGGCCAGGTCAGAGAAACAGGAGATGGGAGACGATTCCCAAACACAAAATGTTCAGACTTGGTGGGTCCACAGAGGAGGAGATGGGCAGTCACCAAGTCGGCATGTGCCGAATACCTGACACACATATTACTTGGTTCTTCAAACATCCAACTAGGACTTTTTAGGCCCACATTATACGTAAGAAAACTGAATTTCAATAAATAAAGAAGAAAGATGACCCTCCTAGGTCACAGAGCTGGTTAGAGGGCTCTTCTTTCTCACCTCTCTAAAATGTTCTCTCTTCACTGGGTTGCTTTTTTCCTTCCTTCCTACCAAATTACATCCCCTTCCTTTTCCAGAAACATCTGTATTCTGCCCTGAAACAGTTTTAGGGGCAGGGAAGTGTATTTACTTTAAGTAGCTATACTCATTTTATTTTTGTCTCTGGATTCAGATTATCAAAATGTGAAAACTTCCCCTTGATACTTTTTGAAAAATTAACATTTTTAAATATGAAAGTTTAATAGACATACCCCGAAAAGTAAAAGTTTTAAGTGTTCTGTTTAATGACTTTTTATAAACTGAACACACTTTCACAACTGAATAACCACACCCAGATTAAGAAATAGAAACTCAAGTTATATTTATTCTTTTTTTTTTTTTTGGTACCAGGAGATTGAACCCAGGGGTGCTTAACCACTGAGCCATGTCCCCTTTTTATTTTTCATTTTGAGACAGGGTCTCACTAAGTTGCTTTCAGCCTTGCTAAGTTGCTGAGGCAGGCCTCGAACTTGTGATCCTCCTGCCTCAGCCTACAGAGCTGCTGGAATTACACGGTGCACCACTAATATGAACCTCTGGTTGTATTCTAACTGCTGGGTGCAGTGGTGTACACCTAGAATCCTAGCAGCTCTGAAGACTGGGGCAGGAGCATCACAGGTTTCAGATCAGCCTCAGCAATTAGAGAGACCTAAGCAATTTAGTGAGACCCTGTCTCAAAAAGGGCTGGGGATGTGGCTCAGTGGTAAAGGGCCCCTGGGTTTAAATTCTCAGTACATAATATTTGTCCCTTCCGCATTCTGTCATAATAGTATTTGAAGGTGCTAGGCAGTTTCAAGTTGGCTAACCAGCAAGCTTGTCATTGATGGTTTAGGACTTCAGGGGGGTTGAGATAACACCAAGAAAGAGGTAAAAGTAACACCTCATTTTAAAACTGAAAAGTCACAGAATTTTATCTCATCTTGTAAGTGAAGCTCAGAGAAGTTTGCCCAGTTCCAGAGCAAAAGTGACCAGCAGATGGCTTCCCTGCATGCATGCACACATGTACCTACACACATGAACACATGGACACCTGCTATCTGGAAAGTCCCCACTGAAATGGGTTCTGACCAGGAAGGAAGCCATTGCAGGAAGGCCAATACAGGGCTGGTAAGGTCACCACCCAGGGTCACCAGGTAGGGGTGCTGTCTATTATCTCTAGTTTCGGTACCCTGCCCCTGAGATGCCCAGATGCCCTTATTCCCCTCTGCTTTCTGCTCTCAGGTGGGTAGTGGTAAAATGTTACTCTAAAGGGCGCTGGGTAAGACCAAAGCCCACCTGTGGCCAGAATGTGCTGTGAGCGTCATGCACCAGCAGGGCCAGTATTCTACTTGGACTACAAAGTCTGAGGTCCTAGACTATCTCTACCATCTCCCAGCTACTGTCCTGTGGGCAGGATTTGACCCTTGACAACCTCCCAGGGTTGTGACAATGTTCAGCTTTATCATACCTAGGGGAAACTTGGCCAGCTGCAAAGCACTTCTTAATAACAGTGTTTGTGGAACAGCTCCAGTGTGCCAGGCTCTGTGCTAAGTATGCACATGCCTCTCATTTATTCCCCACTGAATCTCCTAGGAAGGGGTCTTTATAGCTGAAGGATAAGGATTAGAGAAGCAAGGTAACTACTCAGATCACACAGCCATTTAAATAATGGGGCAGAGTGTGTTTAAACTATCCTACCCAAGCTGGGTGCAGTGGTGCACGCCTATAATCCCAGCAACTTGGGAGACTAAGGCAGGAGGGTTGTAAGTCCAGCCTCAGCAACTTAGTGAGGCCCTAAGCAACTTAGTGAGATCCTATCTCAAAAATAAATAAATAGGACTGGAGATATGGCTCAGTTGTAAAGCACCCCTGGGTTCAATCCTTGGTACCAAAAATAATGATAATAATAATGAAAAATGAATTACCCTGCCCTTATGCCACTTATAACCAATCACTCACTTAGCAGTTATTGAGCACCTACTGTGTGTCAGACACAGTTGGGGTCTGCCTCTTTCCCCCCAGTCTACTCTGCCTTGTTTTCTCTTGATCTCTGATCTCTGAAGCCTCCTAAGGCCCTCCAAGACTCCTTTTAGGGAGGTGATGGCTGAAAGCTGGTGTCCCTGGGCCGTGTTTATCCCTTGCTCTGTGGATCAGGAGCTGCAACCTCGCAGCACTGGCCTCGCCCAGCACATGCCTCTCTCCTGCAGCCTCACACCTCCACAGGAAGAGGTGGGCAGGGGTGGGCAGGCTGGCCAGCCCAGCAACTGTTTGCTGCAGAGGACCCTGTTTTGATCCTGGCATACCTTGTGGGGCCAGCTGACAGCACTCATGCCAGCCTGATAAGAGGCTGTGGCCCACAGCCACCGTGCTCACAGCCCTGCCACCTCCACGTGGCCCTGTGCCTGTTATTCTGTAGATCTCCACACACAAAGGGCCCGGGTGCTGTGGCTGGCGCTTAGCTATTGGGGGGGGGAGTGTGACAGGCAGTGGTGAAAAGCCTTTCAGAAAGGCCAGGGCGGAGGCAGGAGCCACCCAGGTGATGGGAGCTGGTCCCCTGGGGCCCTAGCACAGGACTGCAGTGAAAGGTTACAGCTAATTGGCAAGCTCCTGATGGGGCTGCATCTATTTAGCACCCCCTCCCCAGAGACTTCCAGGATGGTCTTGGCACAGCGTGTGGTTCGAGAGCTCCCCGCCCTGAGTCCAGCACAATCTGTCTGGAGTCATGAACGTGGAGCCTCTCGGTTTCTCCATTTGTATTTTCGCTGTTGTGGTTCTCTGCCCATTGTTGCTGGTGGAGTTAGCAGCAGTCCCCTTAGCCCCGTCTCTGGCACCCCCTCCCTGAGCCCTCTCCACAGGCTCCCTCCGGTCCCAGATCCTGCCCAGGGAGAGAGGCAGTGGCAGTGCCAGACGGGTTGGGGAGCATCACTACCCTTGCCCCGACCCCTGGCCCAGCCTTAGGGCCCAGCTCTCACCCACCATCAGCCCTGACACTAACGTGGCTTGTCCACCCTGTCGCAGGGGGCAGATGGCCTGTCGGAGCCCGAGGGCATCTCTCTGAAGCGGGTCGCTGTGGTGGAAGATTTCTTTGACATCATCTACTCGATGCATGTGGAGAGCTCCGCGGAGCCAGGCAAAGCCCCCAAGCACGCTGGGCAGAAGAAAACCTACCGTGCGGTGAGATTCCTGCCTCTGCCTCCGCGGGCAGCCCCAGGCCTTGGCAGGAGGCCACGGGCTCCGCACATGTCGGGCGGGGGCGGGGCGGGCAGCTGAGGCGTGATGAAATGGCCTTTGGGGACCCAGGGGGGCACAGGGCAAGGACATGGCAGCCAGAGATGGCTCACAGGGCGAGGGGGCGGGTTCTGTGGTCTGAGCACAAAGGAGAAGCAGGTTGAGGGAGTGAGAGGGAGGGAAGAAGGGACTGGCAGGGAGGGAGCCCTCCTCTTCCTGGCTCCCACTGAGCCTGCCCCTCCAGCCCCAGCCTCCTGAGCCTGCTCTGGGGTGGGGGCTGGCTCACACTGGCGTCTGTCCTGTCTAGGTGTTTTCTACATGGGACTTTATCTGGTCCCCAGTACTGAGAGTTCCCCAGGGGAAGTTGAGGACCTGCTGCCCACTCTCTCAGAGGTCCCAGTTGGATTTGGGGTGGGGAGGCTGAGAGCAAAGGCAAGACACAAAAGCAGACGCATCGCTCCCAGGCCAGCTTTGAGGAAGCAAGAACCCAGGTCCCTGGAGCATTCAGCAAAGTCACTGCTAGCCCTGGCACTCAGTGCCAAGCCTGTGGGCATCATGGAGAAGGTGGTTTATTACTCGGCCTTCTAAGCAGAGCTGACAATGTAGGATGGGAAATATCACAAATAGGGGAGGGCAAGGGGACTGTGGCCAGAGCAGAGGATCAACTCTGCCCTACAGGAGGGGCCTACTGTGTTGGACGCCATCTCCCTCGTGGCCCTCAACAGCTGAGCATGTCACCATGACTCAGGCCCACTACTGAACTCTCGAAACCAAGCACTTTACTCTCCTTCAAGCCTCACGGCAGTCCTGTGATCCAGAGAACTAAGCTCCCACCCAAGGTCGCACAGCACTTGAGTGGCAGTCAGCCAGTGTCCTCACACCCGCCCCATGTCGACCTTCTTGGCTTCTAGAGATGTGCCCTGGGAGGCTGCGCTTCCCCACCGAAGGCAGATGTGAGGCCCCAAATTCTTTGTATAGACAACTTGGATTACTGCAGAAGTGGCCTAAATAAGTCTGTGATTTCCCCATATGGCCTGATTTTTAGAGAATCCAGCAATCTGGTTGTCCTTGTCTTCAGAGGATGGCCTTTGCCCTGGATGGGTATTGAGGACAGACTCCTATGCCAAGGGCCTCAGACAGGCAAGGGGCCTGGCTGAGGAAAGCCGGAGTTGGTCATTATCTCCCCACCCTCCTGCGCTCTCGGTGTGTGCTTCAGGAAGTGATTGGGGAAGGGAATCTGAGGTGTTTCCCAGAGGGCCATAGAAGAAGGGCGGGTGCCCAGGCAGGGGCTGGTTGGGCCCCTTGGCATCGATGAGATCCAGCTCGCTTTCTCAGCACCACATCCATCATTGTTTGGGCACTTAATGCATGTTGGGCTCTGCCCACAGCACTTTGTGCCCACCTGGGTGGCTCCACACACATGAAGGTTGCATGTATAAAGCACATGCAGCCGTTAGCCCCACTTTAAGATGAGGGAAACTGAGGCCCGGAGACTCACCACCAGCCTGAGGTCATTCAGCTGGCCCCAGAGCTCCAGAGCAGTGCACCCCCTGCCCCTCTACCAACCTCTCCTGGCCACTTGCTGTGGACTAGGCAGATGGGCTCCTGGACCTTGTGATTTCCCTGGCTGCTCAATACCCAGCCCCCAGGGTCTGTGGCCTCTGTGCTGTGGAGAGGACAAGGCAGGGCTGGTCCTGTCAGCGCTGTGTCCCTGGCCAAGCGGACATCTAGCCCTTTGCTCTGCTCCTCCTGGCTTCTCGTCCATATGCCCGCCGTGTGCCCCACTTCCCGCTGCCCAGCCTGGAGCTGGCACATGGCTGGCATGGAGCCAGCTGGGCTGCGCACAGAGCTGGAATTTTAGCAGCAGGGCCAAGGCTGAGCTGAGTAGGCCAGGGCCTCCTGCAGCGGGTGTGAGGCCGAGGAGGCTGTCGCACCTCCCTCTTCCCTGTTTGCCTCCTCCCCCTCCCCCTCCCCATCTGTCATCCTTCTTATGCCATCCTCTTTCTTTTGGGGGACAGGGGTGGTGCCTAGATGCTTTTGTCCCCTCTTTTCATCTGTTCCCATTTTCCTCCACCCAAGCCCAGCTCTTCAGCCATGCTCTGCAGACACAAGGACCCCCACCCTGTCCGTGTCTGTGGGAAGAGCCCCTGAGGAAACCCCATGGTAATGGCTGTGGAAAGGCTCGGCTGGTACCACAGGGTTTGTGGTAGGATCTTGGCTAAGAAGTTTTTGGATCTGTCCCCACGTCTTTTGCCAAAGCTAATCCTAGGACTGCCTCATAGCGGGCCTTTCAGATTCTCTCAGGCGTGGGGCATCCACAGGGGTCCGAGAACTGGTAGTGAGATGGCAAGACTTGTTCAGGGTGCTAAGTGTGGCCAATTCTTCAGTGGTAAAAAAACTTTCTAGCACCTACCACTGTCTAGCAGTGGATCAGAGAGAACTGGTGGCAAGCCCTAGCCTGGAGGGGTTTGAGCCTAGGGTGCAGCTGTTTATGGTGGTTGGGCCTGTAGGTGGGCACTCCTACTGTGAGCAGAGTCCCACCTTAGCCTCTCCTACAGGGTGACTCCAGATTCCAAGGGTCCCAGGGAGTCTTACAGTGCCAAGTCTGGGGAAGGCGCCAGGTAGTGAACCCTCACAGAAGACTGGTTCTTTTTCTGAGGGCTTTCCTGGTCTCTGCACCTATCTGGGTTGCTTCCTCTTGCTCCCTGAGGGTTCTGGAAAGCCAGATCGGGTTCCAGAGCTCAGATCCAGATCCGGCTGCCAGGCCACTTTGGAGTTGGGGCCAGATGTGGTCAGCAGCTGCTCCAGGCCCACCACGTGCTAATCCACCCACAGGGCAGAAGGAGGATCTTGTAAAGTGGTGCAAATCCCCCCAATTGGCCTCATCTGTCTTTGTCGGCCTCCGAGTTGGGGAGTGAAAACGGGGCCTTGCAAGTCAGCGACTCTGCAAATAGCTCCCGCTCTCCCTGCTAGCGAGTCTCAGTTTTTACCACTAAGAAAAATGGAAAAGGCAAATTCACACATGCATCTCAGCGTCCAGGCAGGGGGCCCTGAGAGCAAGGCATCAGGCAGCCCAGGCCACGGAGGGAAGCCAGCTGGGAACGGGGTCCAGAGCTTCCTCTCCTTCCACGTGGCAGCTCTGTCTCATGCTGTGGGCTTCAGCCTGGGAGTCTATTTCTAGAATAGGGTCTATAGCCCTGAAACCATCTGAAAACCACCATCCTAATGGCAAGGGCCTCTCAGGGATTGTCCTCCTGGTTTCAACTCATCCTGCAATCCTGTGGTCCGGTCAGCCATGCACTCAAAAAGAATGACAGGTCCCATTGCTGGTCCTGGGCAAGGCATGAGGGTGACCAAAAGAGCCCTGCAAGAGGTGGGGCTGGGGGTGTTTTCTACGTGGGTGTTCCCAGCAGCAGAGCTGGGCTGCTTTCTGTGCTTCACCGACTCCTCAACAAGGGAGCGAGGCTGCAGAGGTTCCACTGGGCAGGGCAGCCTCCCTCCCCTTCTCTGGCCCTCAGATAGCCCTGAGGCCTTGTCACCTCTTCTACCCCTCTGTGGGACCAGAGCCCTCCCCAGGGTACACCAACCAGCCCTGTTCCTGCTGGGACCCCTGCCAAGGCCAGGAGAGCTGTGGCCCCGGCTCCCACCCCTAGAGAGGGGATCATTCCTGTGCCCTTGGTGGGACATGTGGCAAGAGGGATCCCTGCCCATCGTGGGCACAGCCCTTGGCAGTGCAACCAGATCATGGTGCCTCCTGAAGCCCTTTAGAAAGGTCTCTGCCCAGGGTGGCTGAGCCAGCAAGCTTCCACGGAGTCCAGACGGACTGCTCCTCTGACACAAGCCCCGCCCTCCCTTCCCAGACAACGACACAAATGTCCCTCCCCACATCCTCCACTCAGCTCTTCTGAGACCTGACCTGGGGTGCCACGTCAGGGGAGTCCAGGGGTCGTTTGTTGACCAGAGTCAGCCGCAGCCTTCCTCCGCCCAGCACACGCCTTCTCCTGGCCGGGTTGCTCCTGCAGCCAGCAGCTCTCGGCAGAGCCAGCCTTTTTGCTGAGCAGGTGCAAGAGGAGGGAGCCTCCAGCCCCCAAGGCTTCCTGCAGTGCCAGGCTGGGAATGAAGACATCCATGTCCTGGCAGGAAAGGCACAGAAAAGGCATCTTGGGGCCCTGACACCCCCGGAGGACTGCCACACCTCTGATTGTGGCTTTCCAGCCACTGGCTCCAGTCAGAGATGCTGGGGTTTGCCCTTGTCCCTGACCTCCAGAGAAAGGCAATCAGACAGGGAATTTGGAAGGGAGATATCTCATCAAGGAGTCTGCCTGCTCCGTGGAGCATCAAATCAGCTGAGAAATAACAATTGTGTCACCAAAATTAACTCGCATTTGCAGCTGGCAGGAGTGGCCCCTGGAACTCCGCAGGCAGCTGAACTGGGTGGGGTCCTCCACGAGGGCTGGCTGTCCGAAGACTGGACATCCCTTCCCTTTTACGTCCCCCTCTCACTGCCTCACCCAACGTCCACCTCCTGGCTATCAAAAGGTGGAGCAGGGCATTGGCGTGTCCCCATGGGAGCAGACTGTGTGCTGTCTACAGTGGAGGCAGGGCGAGCACTGTCCAGAGAGGCACCCACACCCTCCACCAACTTTCCCAGTTGTGCTGCGACAAGGACCAGGAATGCTTGGGGGATGCTGCCCCTTAGTGGAGAGGAGTGGGAGGAACCAGGCTCCAGGAAGCCCGTGTGAAAACCGGCCAGCAGGCAGTCTCCGCCCAGGGAACCCAGGGTTACTGAGGTTGCCCCACAGACAGCCAAATCAGGGCCAGCGGGTTTCCCAAAGCCTAGAGTGAGCCGGGAGGGCTGCCCGCTCTTCCCCACTGCCACCCCGCCTCTTCTCCTGTCTCTCCATCTATTTCTACCTTCCTGTGCATACACCCTTCTCCTGTGTGGGGCCCTGTGATCTGGAGCACTGCCTCTAAAGAGCTGTGTGACTTTGGGTGAGTCAGTTCACCTCTCTAGGCCTTAGTCACCAGGAACAGAAGAGTCTCTGTGAGCCTGTCCAGTTTAAAAAATCTGATGCTCTGGCACCAGCCTCGTCCAGCTTTCCCTAAAAAGGTTCTTGACCTGTGAGTTATCACTGGGAAATTGCCAGTAGAACCTTGGGGTCTGTTTATAAGCTCAGAGTCTGTGGATTTATAAGCGGGTCTCAGTTCATCCATCTCTGAGGAGGGGAAAAGGTGCTCCTCTTCCCCTGGAGCTGTGCTCATAGGCTCACTTCTTAGTGGCAGCAATACAGTGTTCCCATAGCAACATTACTCCTTAGAACACAGGCTGAAGACTTGGTGCCTTGTTTTCATAGCTAAGAGTGGAGGGCACTTGGCCCTTTCTCCACAAAGGGACACTTGTCCCTTGCCCCTACCTTTCCTGGCAAGGGCCACAGGACCTGAATCCAAAGCACAATGTTGGTGTCCCAGGGGCCAAGTCGCCCCCGTGGACCTGCGTAACATGCAAACTCCTTCCTCCCCAGATTGCAGAGACCTATGCCTTCCTCCCAAGAGAGGCCGTGACGCGCTTCCTGATGAGCTGCACGGAGTGCCAGAAGCGGATGCACTTTAATTCCAACGGCCTGGAACCCAAAGGTAGGGGAGGTACGCGCTTGGGCAGGGCTGTTGGGCAGCAGGCTCTCCCACAGAGGGGCCTGCCCTTTGCTGCACAAGAAAGTGCATATTCTGCCATTGTTCCCATTCCTAGAAGCTAGCATTTATGCAAGGTGCTATCTGGAGAGCCTTGTCTGAACTTTTTTAAATGTTAAGTTTCACTAAAAAGCCAACAACCTATTCTTCCTGCCCTTCAAGGGCCGGGCCAGCCCCTCTCCTCCCAACCAGATTCTAGTTGGAAATGGCACCCTGCCCTATTTGTGTGTGTGTGTGTGTGTGTGTGTGTGTGTGTGTGTGTGGTGCTGGAGATCAAACCCAGGGCTGTGCACATGCTAAGCAAGTGTTTCACCCCTGAACCATGTCCTAAGCCCCAGCCCATCCTACCCCTTTTTAAAAAAATTTTGAGACAGGATCTCACTAAGTTGCTGGGGCAGGCCTTGAACTTGCCATTCTCCTGCCCCAGCCTCCCTAGTGCTGGTTTGCAGGTGTGCGCCACCATGCCCAGCACACCCCTCTTTTTTAGTTATGGGATGAACACAATACCTTAACTTTATTTATTTTTATGTGGTGCTGAGGATCGAACCCAGTGCCTCACACATGCCAGGCAAGTGCTCTACCACTGAGCTACAGCCCCGGACCCTGTCCACTCTTGAAGCTCGATTATTCTGGCCCCCAGATCTCACCCTCGGCTCTTTCTCCAGGCATGCACCACTCGGGTCTGGCCTTCAGCTCTCGGGATGGGAGCACACACTTGATATGTGCGTCTTCTTGCCCTTTGGTGTATGACACCTGTCAGAAACGGTCCCCTCTAGTGTTTGCCCCATCTCTGGGCCCACCCATGTAGTCTCTGGTCTGTGGATCTGAGGGGATTGATGAGAATCTAAAATGAGTACAGTGCTTGTGACCAGCTAAGTTGATCCCTGGACCAGTGCCTGCGCTCACCTGCTTTTCTGCTCAGTGAGGCCAGCATGGAGCCCACTCGAGCAATCCCCATAGACCCTCAAGCTATGCATCCCACAGGGCCAGTTTGCCTACAGTTGACTTTACTTCCATGAGATGGGCCAGCATATTTGGTTGACATGACTGTCACTTTGTCCTGGGAAATGGTGCCCAGGTGGGCTGTTCGTCAGGGTTTGAGGCCCTCCCCAGTGCCCTGCGCCAGCTTCTGGGCATCAGGCCTGAAAATATTGCTGAAGTCTGGGGTTATTTTGTCTAAGGATAGGGACAGAGTGGGGATAATGGGCAAGTATTTATCCAGATCCACAGATGGCAGCCACCAAACCTGGGGTGCGGTAAACATCAACCAGGGCCCAAGACGATGCTCAACATCAGGGCACTGGCATCAGTTGGCATTTTCCCCTTATTGTCATTGTCCCTGAGGCACATGAGCAAATTCTGACCCCAGCTGACTCACCAATCCAGAGGCTTTGCTGTCCTGGAAGCCACGAGGCCATGGCTGCCCAGTCCGGGCACACCAGACAGCTTCTGAAGAACCTCAGAGAGCAGGCCAGTGTGAGAGCAGGCCGCAGGGCCACTGTGTGGGGAGGACTGCAGCTTAGATGCCGTGAGTCCTGGCCAGTGACTTCATTTCTATGAGCCTCAGTTTCTCCTGTGAAATGGGGTCATTAGTGGAGCCCACTGGAGGGCTGATGAGATCAGAGGTGGCCCTGGGCCTGCACAGGGATACTGTAGAAGGCTGGACTCCATGATACATAGGGTGCCTGAATGGTCCTGCTGCCCCTATCTGGCCCTGGTTGAGCGGCTACAGCTGCTGGGCCACTGCCTGGGCCTGCAGATGTGCTGGAGGCCCTCCTTGCCTCACTCCCCACACTGCTGGGGCCTAGACCCGAGGGGCATGTGCCCTGGTGGCAACTGCCTGGATCCTGCTCACCCTTCCCTGTCCCCTCCTTTCCTGTCCTGTTTCCATAGCAGCTGTCAGAGTTGCTAGCCCAGGGGGAGCAAGGCAAGGCCAAGAGGGGCTGTGTGTGGGCTGCCCTGGGTGACTGAAGTTCCCCCGACCCCTCCTCTGCTGGCCCCTGATGGTGTATGTAGGGAGGCATCCCTCCCACCCTCAGCTTCGCACCGAAGGCTGCAAGGCCTCCCAGGGGCTGTGGGCTTCACTCCTCCTCACCTGTGGGCATCCCTGTGGCCTGGAGGGCAGTGCCCAGCCACCAGCTGCTTGTTTTCTCTCCTCATAGGCCGCCACTGTGTTTCCCCACTCCCGAAAAAGAGGGAGAGAGGGAGTGCACACATGGCAAGGAGCTGCCTAGAATATAAACCAGCTCTGAGCTTCTTCCTGGGGCTGGCTTTTGCAGGACAAAAGGCAAGTGCCTGCCCATCCTCAGGACACCTTCCCTTCTTGGTCCCAGGAAGTAGACCTTCCCATAGTAGGGAGAGAAGATGTGGAGGGATGGGAGACAGCATGGCCATGGGAGATTGTGGACTTGGGGTCAAGAAGGCCTGTGGGTAGCCCAGTTCCTGCTGTGTGTCTCCTGGCAGTTAGGGAGCCTCTCTGAGCATCTCCTGCTCAGCAGCCACGATAGTTCTCTTGAGTTTTCAGTCCTGGCTTCACAACTGAGGAACCTAAAGCACAAAGAAATGTCAGGTGAAACCACCCACCTAGTTCCCCCAGGAGAGCAGAGGGAAGAACTTTTCCATCAGCCAAGGATCTTGGATCTGTGAGGGGGCAGGTGGATCAGAGGAGCTAATGACACAGGGCACTGGCGCATAGGGACATGGGGAGCATCAGATTGTCTCCTGCCCATGCTGTGGTTGTGTCACAGTCCCCTACAAAAGGCTGTCAGCATTCTAGTGGCCCCACAGAGAGGCACACGTCAGCCTCCAGCAAGGCAGAGTCACGCCCTTTATAGGGCCATGTCCTGGACAGAGCGGAAGGGAAGAGGGGAGTAACTGGAAGTTGCCTATAGAGAGCTTCACACGCTCAAAGACGCCCCCTGAAGACCCCTGTCACTCATGGCCAGAGGTGCACCATCCTGCCAGCTGGAAGGGTCTCTTCACTTCTCCTGCCCCTGCCAGAGCCTGGAGAGCCTTCTCCAGGCCATGCCAGTCCTCCCTCCCAGGGCAAGCCCCTGTTCCTGACCCAGGAAGGTGGGAGGAAAGGGGTGCAGGGACAGGATGGGAACTTCTGAGGGCTGCTGGGAGATGCTTTGCTTCCTGGCTGCCTATTAAAAAGGAAGGAAACAGAAGCCTCCCTTGCTCAGCGGTTTGTCCCCAGCAGAGTGTGGGGCCTGGACATCCGTGTTCCCTCCCCCAGCGCCAGGAGCATAAACAAAGAGGGCAGCAGCGGATCTGGAGGTCCTGGGATGGGAAATTCCAGGGCCTCCCATCCCTAGGAACCAGCCCCTGACTTGCCAAGGCCGTCCAGGGTGCAGGGAAAGCAGAGGAGACGCAGGTGTGCCCCTAATCTAGCCCCTGCTCTGGGGAAGAGGGACCTCTGGGGGCACATTTCTTTTCTTTTGGAGGGGGACCAGTATTGAAAGGGGCGCTTGACCACTGAGCCATACCCCCCCACCCTATTTTGTATTTTGTTCAGAGACAGGGTCTCACTGAGTTGCTTAGCGCCGTGCAGTTGCTGAGGCTGGCTTTGAACTCACGATCCTCCTGCCTCAGCCTCCTGAGCCATGCCTGGCGCTGGGGGTGCATTTCTGTTTGCCTTGATGTGACAAGATGTTGTAAGGTTGGAGACCCCGAGTGGCAAGGGACAGTAGCACTTACTCTTTCTCGGAGAATGAGCTGCTCACTCAGGTGGAGGCTCCTGAACAACCATGTGGGTTCCCAGGGTAGCTCCTGCCTCACCCCTCCAGGCCCCTCCTTCCTGTCCTCCCCCACCAACGGCCCCACCCCAGCCATTCCTTTGCCCCTGCAGAGCCTGTCCTGCCTGAGCCTCCTGCAGCCTCCATGCAGAACTCACAGGGCTCCCAACTGCCAGAAAGCCTTGTCTCCCTATCCTCATTGTGGTGGCCAAGCTCTGACTCCCACTGCCAGCTCCATGTCTCTTTTCCTCATGCTGAATGTCTCCTGCTGACCAAGGTGCTGCCACCCCATAGGACTTACACTTCTAGAAGCACCGCACACCAATACAGGTGATGTCCAAGTATCTGGGTGTTGGTGCTGGAAGTTCCAGCTTCCCCAAGACCAGGCATGGTGCCTTCCTTTCTCTGAGCTCTCCCGGCCCATTTCCTAGCTCCAGACGTGCTTTGGTCCTGTGGAGACTCTGGAAGGGAAGACTACTCCTGCCACTGCCCATGAGTGCCACTAAGTCAAATGACATCTGATTTTATTAATATGATACTTGCTGAAAGTCCTGGTATTTCAGACAGAACATAGGTGACCGTCAGGGAGAGACCACAGCTCTGCAGGGGCCTTTGGCGTGGGTGGCCTTTCACAAGTACCAGGCTGTTAGCAGCTTCTCCCCAGACAGGCTCATCTTGGAGGAAATGAAACAGAAGCTGCAATTCTCTCTGAGGATCCATGATCTGCAAACAGGAACCACAGGTCCCCTGGGGGACACCGTCTCAGTATCATCCCTGGAATGTCTGCCTGACATGTTGCCTTCAACCCAGTCAATTTGGGGGATCCAGGGCATGGTGAGAGGAAGAGGGGCACAAATGCATCCACACCACAGGGCTGCTGAGCACGTGGCCAGCATCTCCCTGCCCCTCAACTGGGAAGGATACTCTTTAAAAAGGGGAGTAGGAGCCAGACTCTTTGGTACATGCCTATAATCCCAGCAGCTCTGGAGGTTGAGGAAGGAGGATCACAAGTTTGAGGCCAGCCTCACAATTTAGCAAGACCATGTCTCAAATTAAAAAGGGCTGGGGGTATAATTCAGTGGATTATTAAAAAAAAAATGGAGACTAAGGAGTGGGAGCATTTCAAGTCCATTTCTGAGAAAACTCTACATTTACCTCTTCCCTAAAAGCACAAAAATGAAACCTTCTGTGTAACAGTGTGGCCTTTAAAAAGCAAGACAAAGTTCTGCATTTCTATAAAACTTGATAAAACCTGTCATCCTGCACAGTCACAGCCTCATAAAGGAGCCCGAGTCCTGGGTGGTGTGGGGGACGGGGACTGTCTTGTTGGAGCTGTGTCTGCAGAGCTGCCACCCTGGCCAGGCAGCAGCTGCCCTCATCCTTTGGGTAATTTTGCCCAAGTTTGTAGATATTTTTTTAAAGTTTGTGTGCCATCTTAGTGTTTAATTATACTGTTTTAAAGACATTGATTGTATCCACATTATTGAGCAACCAGCTCACCTACATATCAAAAGTTTTCAAAAATTTTTTTATCATCTTAAACAGAAACTCCATCAGTAACTCTCCATCCCCATCCCCACCCCCCAGGAGCTCTCGTTTTACTTTCTATGGATTTGCTCATTCTAGATAGTTCTTGCAAGTGGAATCATACAGCATTTGACCTTTTGTGTCTGGCTTCTTTCACCAGCATAGAATTTTTATGGCTTCAGGGGCCCTTTCCACTGGGGCGCTGGCTCTGGAGAGGCAGGTGTGGCAAACTGCCCTGAAAAGTCTCTGCATTCTTTGCACTCGGCCTGTCTCTGGGTATGGTGGTGACGGAAGAGGGCAGGCTTTGGCTAGTTGGGAAGTTGTCCTCACCCTTCTCAGATCCCAGCCCATCCACAGGACGGGGGATCTTTTGGTCAAAGACCTCGTGTGAACATAAACCTGTCCCAAAGTCCTTGCAGACAGGAGAAAGCCAAGAGCAGGTTTTTAAGACTATTCCCCGGCAGCTTAACCAGGGATTTCGGGAGTGATCAAATATTTCTACCTTCTGACCCGTGAATTCCATTTCTTGGAACCAGTTCTAAAAAAGGAAAAGATCAGAAATATGGACCACTATTTATGCACAGAGATGTTCCCTGCAGTTCTGTTTATAATAGCCCCAATGGGAAGCAACCTACATATAATCATAAGGGAATAACTTGAGTAAATTATGGTAAAATATGACACAGTTACAAAAATCTTATTTGCAAAGCAAAGCAAGAGTTTTGATGGTGACAAAAATACCTATGACAAAATGTTAAGCAAAAAAAAAAAAACACCACTTTTTTAAAAAAGCACTATAATTCTCTGTATGCATTATGATATCAAGAATGTAAAGAAGAAAAATCAAGGGAAAAAATAAACAGAAGCATATGCCAAGCTGCTTGGTGCAATTATGGTTTTAAAAAATGTTTCTTTACATTTTTCTGCACTTTGCAAATTCTCTACAAAAAGAACACGCATTACTCTGATCTCCAGGACACCAAAGCAATATATGGGAAGCGCAGTGCTCCTCTAAGTGCGATTAAAGAGACACCAGGGTTTGGAAGGGCGGTGGGAAGAGGGCACTGGAGGCATGTTTGAGCCCCGTGACCCCATGAGCCATTTGGTACCTGAGGGTGCTTTGGTGGCATGCTATGGGGCCAGGGATGGGGTGGAGCAGTGGCAGGTATTCACCAGGAAGGGAGCTTAGACCAGAGTTGGAGGCTCCAATGCCTTGAAGGGCCTCAGAGGCCCTCATGAGCAGAGGTGTGCCGCTGAGATGCCCTGCCTGAAGGACGTGGCCACCTGCCATGAAGCATGGGACATATGTGTGGCCAAGCCTTCTGTATTTCAAAGAAGCCACAATTTCACATTTTTCTAAACATGTGACGTCTCTTATTAAACACTGGCACCCACTGACAAGCATTTTCAACACCACACAGCCCGTTTCTAAGGGCCAGGTGTGGTGGCCACTGACAGGTGGCCTCTGGCCTGCTCCTTCCCAGAGGTGGCTCCCCAGGGGTGATGAGACCCCAGCACAGACTGAAAGGGGTTTCCTTTTGTTCTCCCTGCCAGAAAATGAACCACCGTCCCCTCTGGTCTCTGGGATCATTGATTACAACATGCCCCTCACTTCCACCTACTTGAAGCAGATGAAGCTGCGGGTGATGAACTCCCAGGAGCAGGTAAGGTGTCTGTCCCCTTCGCCCACCTGGAGGCATCCTGACTTGCCTAGCTGTGGTTGCCTTTCCCAGACAGACTCAGGTCTGCCGTGGGTATAAACACCCTGGAAGTCAAAGAGACCCTTATCTGGTCATCTGGGCCAGGCAGTCAGACAGAAAGGGGAGGAGAGGGCAAGAAAGGGTGCATTCCTCCATGGAGGGTCTGCAGGGTGCTGCTCCAAAAGCTCAGACTTTGCAAAACATTCCCCAAGGTCAGGTGGGGCCAGGGTGGGGAAAGCTTGCCCTGGATCTGGGGTCCTTCTCGCTGTGCTCTGCCCATCACAGAGCTTTTCCCCTAGGAGGTGAGGGGGTGTGGCCCTGGCTGCCTGCCTGTGGCCTCTGTCACTCTCGGGGGCCCAGACAGGCCAGGAGGATGGGCCTTGGAAGGTGGCCCAGGCTAGATAAGGCCCCAGGGTCGCCCAGCTGCCCAAGACTCCCAGCTGTGGTTCACCAAAGGCTGTCAGACGCCATGGAAACTGGCTATGAAAAGAAACTCCTCGCTGCCTCCCCACACAGCCTACCTTCTAACTCTTCCCAAAGCAAGTAGCCTGGTTTTCAAAGACGGACTGGGTGGCTCTCCCTCTGCTGCAGCCTGAAACCAGGAACCAATTTTTACCCCTGCTTTCAGGGCTCTCACGTGTCTGGTGAGGTCCTTGAGACCTGCCTGGGGGAATGTGCCCTTCCTCTCTGACTGATAGATAGCTGGGACTTGAGTCTGACTAGCAACCCAGGGTGCCTGTCACCTGGCACTGCTGGTCTCCTTGACAACGAGAGCATGCGTGTGCAGGGGTGATAGCTTGAGGCTGGCCTCGTGGTGACGGAGTAAGACATTTTTGGGTTACACGGGCCTGTTACCCAGTTTGAGGATTTAGGCTGATTGGCTTGGACCATGGAGTTGTGCCCTCTTGGCCATGCCAGGCCCAGCCCCTGGAGCCTGCATGGGGTCACTGTGGCTCTGGAAGGCAGAGCTGTGTCCATCTGCATCTCCCACTTCTCACTGAGAGGGCCTGTTCATGATGTTGTGTTATCGGAGAAATGTTAGGGGCTTGGGTTTCCAACCCACGAGGACCACGTCATTTTTGCCCCAGGAATGCCAGTGACAAAGGTATCACTTTTGTTAATAGCAGATCTCCTCTGCAGCGGGGAGTGATTTGGGCCTCTCTTGCCTGTCACCATCCACGCTCTGTTTCCACATGCGTCACCGAGCTCATCTATTGCTGTGAGGACTGAGGCACAGCCCTGCGACTCTCTTTCCTGGGATGCGCTGCCACATCTAGATCATTGCTAGTCAGCAGTGGTCAGCGTAGCTGCGATCCCTCTTGAATGGATTATAATGTGTTTGGTTTAGTTAAAAAAATCTTCCTGTACTTTGACTTGCATCTGTGGAAGGAAAGGGATTAACACTGTATTGGTTAAAAGCTTTAACAAGGATCCGATCATTCACCAAATATTTATTTAGGGCTCCATGGGGATGAACAAACAGCTGCATTCCTAGGCCTTCTTATGACCTGTGGGGAGACAGACACTAACCAAAAAAATCATACACAAACTCCCCAGCTCAGTGAGTAGCTGTGAGCAATGAAGGAAGTGCTAATCAGGCATTGAAGTGCAGCTGTGAGGCGGCCAGGCAGGACACCTGGTGCTGTGGGTTCTTAGGGTGGGGTGAGTAGACTGGTGTAGAGGTCAGAAAAGGCTTGCCGCAGAAAGGGGTGCTTTGGCTGAGATGTGGTTCTGAAAAGAAGAGAATTACACAGCCTGTGCAAAGGCCCTGTGGTTCCAGGGAGGACAGGACCTATAAGGGATTAGAGAGGCTGGTGTGGTTGGGGCAGAGAATGTGAGAGATTCTGTTGCTGAGCAAAGAGGGATATAGCACAGTGTTGGGCACTAGAGCCCACCTGAAGCTCATGAAAGAAGATGGGCAGATTGTCGGTGAGGTTCAAGCTACTCCCAAAGCAAGGGAGGATTATGTGAGGCCTTGTTCGAAGGGTGCTCTGGGAATCTGGCTTGGGTGGAGATCCAGCTGGCTCTGAGAGTAGCCAGCTCATTCTGTGTGCTTCCAGAGATCAAAGTACAAATTCTCCTTGCCACCCGACAGGTGAAGCAGCACCTCCCCTCTGCCGAGGGCCTTTTGCTTGTCAATCTCCAGCCCCTCACATACAGCAAGGGACACTCAAGGCCTCAACCTCTTGGGCAGTGCCATTATCCCTGTTTTACGGCCAGACACATGGCAAAACAGAAATCACCAGATTATTTATCTGCAGCAGTGCAGAGGGGCTAAGGGCCCTAAGTCTTTGATTCTTCAGCTTGAGTTGGAACTAAAACTACACATCCTTCCCGGAAGGCAGGCAGAGCTCTCCTGGGGTGGGGGTGGTCCCCACCACAACAGGCTTTTCTGCTATCAAATCCCATGTCCAGAGGCAAGGCTTTGAAAGTGGATCTCTCCGATTACTCTGACCACAAACAGGCAACACAGAACACCTGCAGTGTGTGCAGATCACCCAAGTGAGCTACGTGGATTCTAAAGCAGCTGGGAACCAAGATAAATGACATTAATGTAAACCAAAACTCTGCATCTAAAACTTTGGATGAGAAATCTCATCCCTGGTGCCCTGGCACACACCTGTACTCCCAGCAGCTCAGGAGGCTGAGGCAGGAGGATCACAAGTTCAAGGCCAGCCTTGGCAACTTACAGACCCTAAGCAACTTAGCAAGGGAGGACCAGGGAGGACAGGACCTATAAGGGATAGCAAGACCCTGTCTCAAAATTTAAAATAAAGGGCTGGGGATGTGGCTGAGTGGTTAAGTGGCCCTGGGATCAGTCCTCAGTATCAAAATAAGATAAAATCCCAATAATTCTCTCTCTCTCTCTCTCTCTCTCTCTCTCTCTCTCTCTCTCTCTCTCTCTCTCTCTCTCTCTCTCGACATTGCACAAGCAGAAGACAAATGGTAAGGAGAGCATATGCCCTCCCCTTGCCTTGATGACACAGCAAACAGGTGGTGGGGTTTTCTTGAGGGCTGGACAGAATCATACTTGTAGTCCATTTGTGATGAATATGCTAGAAAATAAGTCCTTTCTCATGGAGGATGTTAGGGAATATGAAAACCCAACACTCCAGTGCAGGGGCTGGGAGCTTGCCTAGCATGCACAAGGCCCTGGGTTTGATCCCCCAAACTGCAAAAAAAAAAAAAAAAAAAAAAAAAAGTAAACGACATACAAAGAAAAAAAGATTCTCCTCAAGGTCTGGTTCAACGCAGCAAATATTTTTAGTGTCTTCAGCATACAAGATGGTAGGGGCCAGACTCTACCCTCCTAGAACTGACTCCTAGGTTGACATAGACCCCAGAAGTTGTCATCAAAGTGGCCAAAGTGGGCTGAAAATACAGCGTGTGGTCTGATAAGAGTCTGTCTTCCTTCCTTGTTCGGGGGTGCTCTGATGGAGGTCTGAGACTGAGAGCACATGCAGTTGTGCACATGGTGAGTTCATCTTGGCGCTGATGCAGAAAGGTTCCGCTGCAGGGTGGAGACCTTCTTTGATAAAGTGCGGACCCAGGGAGGGTGGGCTGTGCTCCGGGCTGCCCCAGAGTCCGCCAGCAGGTGCCGCCGAGCTCCCAGGTGCATGCAGAACTCACTGGCAGTTCTTCTCACACTGCTACTGGTTTTGTTTGGTCTCATTTGTTTTTCTTTTGTCCTTTATTTTTTCCTAATCACTCTAGTAACACATGACCTCAGAGAAAAATCAGTAGCCAAGAAAGCAAGAACATGGTGATAAGAATCACCAGCGTTTCCCACTGAGATGGCGGGGAGACTTTGGTTTCTTGCCTTTCAAATTGTGGAATAAAAGCCACTCACCCCACACCCTCCTCTGGCTTCCCGCTATTGACTCCCATATGCTCCGTCTCTCTCCCTCTGGATCTTAGTGTTGTCACCTATCCAGTTAGCTGGTGGAGCACTTCTCCTCTCATGCATTCACTTGTCCATGCATTCGTCTGTCCGTCCATCCATCCATCCATTTGTACACTCTAAGCCAGGCTCTGTCCCAGATGCCAGGAGGCAGAGGTGACCAGGCCTGAGCCCCTGCCTACATGGCTCTACAGTTCAGGAGGAGACGAAAAAGCCCACATCTACTCTTTGGGGTCTGTTGGAAGAGCTCAGAAGAGGAGGGGACAAGGGGGCAGTGGGTGAGTGCCAGTCAGGCCCAGGGGTTGTTAACGGTCACCTGCTCTGTGTCCAGCACTGTACACACCTGACCCCTTGCTGGGTCGCATGATTGTCCTCATTCTACACATTTGCTCCCTGAGGCTTAAGGTGGTTGAGCTGCTCCACAACCCTCCATCCCCAAACCCGGCTCCTGCCAAGTTGTCCTGCCCTGTTTCTCCCACTCTGACCTGGGAGGAAGTGCCTGTGGCCCAGTGTGGGCCAGGAGCAGGGCCACAGGCCGGGAGGGAAGACACCCCTGACTAAGGCGAGTGGAGCCCCGGAGAGAGGCAGGAACTGGCCTGGGACCTGGGAGCTGCCACCCAGCAGGGCCCAGGGAGCGTTGCCCTGACCTTGTGGCTGCCAGGGCCATGGGGTGGGATTGGCTGTCCATACATTGTTCTCTCTCCCGAAGTCGCGTGTCTGCGGAGCTGTACCCCTTCCTTCCCACGCCTGCTCTGCAGAGGAAGGCTCAGCCTGACCCCGCTCCCTTTCGGTTCTACCCCCGGCCCTGGGCTCCTCCAGAGGGGAAGGCTGTCAACACCTGCCTCCCCCTCCCCAGTTCTCAGAGCAGCGCTAATATTGCTAATATCCTGCTAATGGTTCTAATGTTCTCCCAGCGGTGTGTGAAGTGGTGCCTGCTCCATTGTTTAAGCCCATGTGGTACAGGAGGCTCTCATGCCTCCATTAACCTCTGCCTCCCTCTCCATCTCTGAAGAGGAGTTATCCCCAGGTCCTGGCGCAAGGAGGGGCCCACAGCTCCCTCCCA